AAATCACAACAGCTGAAGATGGAAATCTGGATGGTTGCTTTATGAATGAAACTCTCGAATCCCTCTAGTGCTCATTGGATTTATCTGCTTATAACCACTGTTTTCTGAATGATACTGTTCCTAATTACAAATTCTTGGATGGGATTTAAACACAGAAGTTGCCTCCAGTTTTCTCAGAGGGAACAGAAGGTCAAAGCAATTATCCTTATAGCACTATATCTCCCCTTTCCACCACCACCACCAGTACATCATATGCACTGTTTTTTTTTTTGTTTTCCCTTGTTACACAAAGTATTTCGATTATGTTTTCTTGATAAATTAGACAGCTTGATTTCCTATATTATTGTAAAGTTGTATTTCTTACAGAGCTGCCCCAACACTGAACAGTACTGTGGGATGTGAAAACAGACTATGGCAACATACTCAGCATGCTGTAATTATGCGAATAAGTTATAATGAAGAAGATCTCTAAAAAAAGTACACCACTTGACATCGGCCATGTATATATAGCCACTCTCCTGAACGACCCTGTGTCAGCAAGTCATAAGTATCAAGTAACTCAAAGCAATTCAAAACCAACAAACCCAATGTACTGAATTAGATTCAAAGTTCACTATTGGCACTGTGCCTGAGCCACCAATTCAGACCCAGTTCTGAATTTTCCCAAGGTTCACAGAAATGGGCAAAAGCCTGAATCTGAATTCAGAGTCCAGGCTAAATCCAGTTCTTCTTCATAGAAGAAACAGTAGGAGTGACTTAAAATCCTCAGAAACAATAACAGTCAAATTCAAAATGGCACCTTAGGCAGCCAAATCAATATAAGCAGCCCACAAAAGCTCTGCAATGTGGCTTAGTTACTCAGCAAGAATTTGTAGATGTGGCTAAAAATACCATAACAGAATTTTGGCACTTCATTGGATCGCCAACTAAGATGGTGTGTCAGCATCTAGGACCAAAGCACATGAAAACATGGAGGATACCTGAAACAAGCATTCCTGATGGCAGTGCCATGCCCTATGGGGCTCAGCGTGTATACCAGGCAGAACTGAACGCAACCCAGGGAACAGCAACCTGCTGTATCCAGAGATACGGATGTAGGGAAAGGTATGTGCACAGGGAGAAGTGGAGAAACAAGAGTGAGGTAGGAGGTTGCAATTAGGCACCAACTTCCAAGCCAAAGAAAGATTGCATCTTCTCAGTTTTCCCTATCAACCAGCTTAGGTGCTCCACTTTACTGAGGGTGGTAAAGCCCATCCCAGAGACTATTCATGGAACTCAGTTTCTTAACTTCACTGCACTCCTTCACAAGGATCAAAAAGCATTGCTGCTCAGAAGACAGCAATGAAATCTAGACTTTCATCCAGCCTCAAGTAAAATTGTAAGTTTAAAGAGAAGTAGTAAAACCAACATGTGAAATTAAGAGTTGTATTTCCAAAGAACCGGACTGAAGAAATCCTGCCCTTTGGAGTCAAACTGTAACATCTGTTGGTTACAAAAAAGCTACTAATGACATACTATGACAGGTCAGAATGTCAAAGCATTTTTCATCTACTTTTTAAATTGTTTACTTCATAATTGTTTATAATGTTTAACTTACAAGGACTTGTAATACACAAGTTGTTTTAGTAACTACAAAAATACTGTCGTCACTACTAATTTCAAGACAGGAATAGCGAAACCTGACAGTCACTGAAGTGAGCTGGATTCCAGCTACTGACTTCATCCTCTCAAGTACATCCACAGCAATACATTGTCTACAAGATGTACAAATTCCTCAGTGATTTGAAGGCAACAAGCTGGCACCTCTGTTCACAGAATAAGTGAATATTCATCCAAGTCAAGAGATGACAACTCAAAAACTCAAAAAACTAGCACTGATAAAGTCACTGGCAAAAACGCCAACAGTTTATAAGATTTCAGAAATTATTTAGACAGTGGTGTTACTATGCATTTCATTATCATCATAGAATGGCTTGGGTTGGAAGAGACCTTAAAGTTCCAACCCCCCTGCCATCGGCAGGGACACCATTTGAAATATAAACTCCTAAGTCTGTTTCAAGATATTTTGCGCTCATCACCATGAAAATACTAAATGGACCATCAATCCATTAGCTCACTAATTTTCAAAGTAATTAATCAATCAAACCTCAAATGTGTCAATGTGAACTGACACCTGAATTTCAACCCATGCTCTGCTTTGACAGCTGCATTCTTCTGGGATCACAGAGTTTGCCCTGATCTCTGGGTAAAATGGAGCAAAATTCTTCTCAGGCAACTAATGTTGTGATCTTCTATTGACCAGGTGAATACAGTCTTAAGGAAAAGATGTAGAAAGAATATCCCCACCTCCCAAATAGAAAATGGAAAGCCTGTCCTTAGAAAGCAACACAAATCAGAATCACAAAGATTGTAATGCCAAACACAGAAATGCTGCCCTAACTGCAAGTGCACACAAAGAACTGTGCTCTCACTATAAGGAATAAAAGTAAAGAAGTCTCATCAACACCTTTTTTTTTACTTTGTAGAAGCCAAGATAAAGCCAAGAGACATAATTAAGGCACTCTAGAGACAGGCAATGGCTCTGCAAACACAAAGTTAACTGCAACCATGTAAGCAGATTTCAATGAGCCTGCCCAAATTCTTACAACAGCAGAAACAAAATATTTGCAAGAGCCAGAAGCTCAGATTAACAAGTCACTGGACCAGGACTTGCCTCTAGCAGAGTACTATCTTTCAATAGCTGGGTTTGCAGCACCTCTGGGGACTTAGGCCATCTCTCATCCAAAGTCTGCAAGTCTGGTTTCCAAACATTAATTAAACTTGAGAAACATTGCATGTGGGAACACTGGGCAGGAGTTAAGTGTATAAAAGTGGTCAGGGATTTTGGATGGCTCCTAGGACATTAAACAGAGGTGGGGGTTGCTGGTGGTGTTAGTATAAGGTTATAAATAAATGCCAGGACAGTATTCAAAGCAAAGCAAATGCAAAATACAATACAGTGGAATATGCTTGAAAATGAGGTTGAATTAACTCTGAATCCAGATTTTAAACTATCTCTTTATTTACTTCATTAGGTGTCAGAATCCATCCTGCCCTTCTTTTAATTAGCTCTAACTCCAAAAAAAGGCCTCCCTTGAAAACAATGAGACCACTCTCTGAATTGGGGACGACTGGGCACATGAAAACAGAATTGACCCAGCACACCAAGAGCTTCCAAAGTTTTTGTGTGTTAGGCAGAGCTCTGTTCACTGGATGCTGTATCCTTGGCAACTATTATGCAAGAAATCGTTCTACAAATGCAAAACTTCTGTCTGCTCCAAGAGATTTTCTCTGAAATACTTTTATGGGGTTTTGGATATCCTTAAATCTAAGAGGACACACACCCTTTTGTCATCTTCCCGCATGTTCCCATGAGCATAAAACAAGAAGTGATGTTAAAAGAGTATTTTCCTCCCACTTCATCACAATGCAAATAAAAGTTTTACAACTTTTACTTTGTAGAAAAAAAAAGAAGTGGGCATTTTTCCTTTTTTCTTCAGTGCACTCTGCATAACTAATGTGCAGATACAAGATAATAATGAAACAACATTATTATTATGTCAATCAATGGCATTGCTTTGAAAACTAAAAATTCAAGGATCGTGCCCGGGTGCCTGACTTCAAGGGCTGACCTGCGGATGCCAGCATATGTACTAGAAGAAGCATGCAGAAGAGATAGGTAAGATTTGACAAGGGCCATGCTGCAGTTTTTCGCAAGAGGGACTAACAGTACCGATTGTTTCAAGGGCAGCAGACACGCTGCTATTTTTACCAAAGCCTTGGCTGGATCTGCCTAGCTCATTAAACCTCACCACGGCAAAGTCCTGGTCCTGCCGGCGCGACCCTGCTCCGCGCAGCCCGGCCGTCCTGAACCATCTCATTCCTCAGTATCCCCAGACACTCCGGCAACGCTAGCGAAGGACAGGCACGTAGTACTTGATACCCATCTGGGGCTTAGGTTTGATGAGGTTTTTCTTCTCCTGAGGAATGTTTGCAGCAGCTACAGCTACAACTGCAGCAGAGGTGGTATCTGCCCTTGAGGGCGTTTGGGAGCACAGGAGAGCAGCGGAGGGAGCCCCGGGCCTCCCCCCAGGACTTAAGGAAATACTGATAGTGCCGGGGCGAGGGATAGCGCCGGCAGGGGCACACGGGGAGCCGGCGGGGGCACACGGGGTCCAGTGGGGCAGCCCCGCCGCCGGGCGCTCTCCCCGCATAGAGCCCGGGCTGCCGCCCCGCAGGGTCGGGGGCCGCCCGCCGGCCTCTGTTCCCCGCCGCCGGGCTCATGCGGGGAGGCCGCTGCCCTTCGCCCGGTGCCCCCGCCACACACACGCACACGCCCCTGCCCTCCCACGGTACCTTCTGCGGGGCGCGGAGCAGGCGGTGCACCCCGGCCAGCTGGGTGGCGAGCGGGATGTCCTCTCGGAAGGTGTAGAGCGGCGGCCGGGTGGGCTCAGGGAAGTTGGTGCTGTTGAAGGGGTCGGTGTCATCCAGCAGCTGCACCCGGCACACCAGCGTGGCCATGGCGCATCCATGCACCGCCGCGGCCGGGCGCGGGCGGGCAGCGGCACCCCCAAGTCACCGGCACCGAGGTGCTGCCTGCGCGCCCGCCGCCGCCTGCGAGCGGCACTCCCCTCCCCGGCGCGGGCTGGCCGGCAGCCGGCAGCCTTCCCCCGGCTCCCCGAGCGAACGCCGGCCGCCTCACAGCCGCCGCGCCTCGGGGAGGCGGCCCATGGCCCCTTCCCCGCCGGGATCCACGAGTGCAGGAGCGCTTCAGGCCGAGAAAGCAGGAGGCGGCGCCGGAGCCGCGGGGCGCGGGCAGAGCAGCAGCAGCAGCTCCCCCATTCCCGGCCGCTGCGCGCCGAGCGAGCAGCGGGAATGCCGCGGCCGGCACGGGCAGCCCAGAGCAACGCCGGGCAACGGGGCGGCCGCCAGCGCCCCCGCGCGGCCAACGGCGGCGCCGCCCCCGACCCGAGGAGACCTCCCCGCCGGGCGGGAAGGAGAGTCCGCCCGGGATATCCCCCGCCTCCGCCGGCCCAGGCCCAGGGGGAACAGATAGAGAGACAGCGAGAGACAAAGGGGGAGCGGGGCCGCCAGACTTTCCAGCCGCATCAGAGGAGCGGGAGCGACTCACCCTTGACTCCCGGCAAGAATGCGCGTGTACTGAGCTCAGTCTTCCTGTCACGAACATCCCAAATGTCCCAAATCTTTAGTGTAATATTTACCCCTTTCTAAAGGGAAACCTTAAATAATACCCGCTTTAGAAAGAAAAAAAAAAAAAGTTTGAGATTAGCTCACTTGGTAGAGCCTGTTTCTAATAACACCAGGGTTGTGGGTTCAATCCCAAATCTTTGTTCGGGAAGCCTAGCCATGATGATGCTGATGTGGGTTCAATCCTGTTCAGGCCATTCACTTAATGATTATACTCAATGGTCCTTGTGGGTCCCTTCCAACTACAAATACTCTGTGAGTCTCTGATTCTGTGACCTGAAACCAGGGTATTCGATATAAGATTGTTGGGTACGTTTATCTGTATTTGTACAAAACCCTCTCTGCCATTAGGGTTGTATATACTCGAGATTCGTTTGGTTTCCCAGAGCATAGGGCCTGGGCAGACTCCCCACTCTGGACAGGAGACACGCCAGGTGCTGCCTGGCTTTGCGTGTGGGCTCTCCTCTTTCCTTAGGCCTTCTCCTTCCTTCCTCCTCCCAGGGGAATGTGGGGACAAAGTGCCAAACACCTGAGTAGGCACAGAGCAGAGCGTTGAGCTCTTCAAGGTGCATCTATACATGTTACCCAGACTGCAGCCTCATTGGTGGGAATCGAGGATACACACACTCGGGTCTTCACTCTTGGGGGTGTGGACCTCAGGAAAAGGGCCATGAAATAAGTTATGGGTGAAATACAGAGAACAAAGGGGCTCCCTGTCCTGGGGGAATGGCTGCACTTGCATAGGCTGAGCATCTATCCAAGAGGATGCACTGTACTTTAGAGACATGGCTCATAACAACCTATCCTTTCTTCCTTCATGGAGAGGGCTGTGGGGCAAGACCTGTAGCATGGTGAGAACTGCAGGATTTATCACAGAAATGTCTTAGGCAAGAAAGCATGACGTCTAGATCATAGTGTTTGCATGAAGTAACAATTTCCTCCCAGAATTATTACTGGTTTGGGAGTATTTGTCAGCACTGACACAAAAGGGGATTTCTGTCCACATGTGATCTGTCCTTCTGTTTCTGTTCTTCTTGGGACTAACTTGTCATGGTTCGGTTTTGCAAGCAGTTATGCGTATTTTCAGAAAAGAGAAGTTATATATGGTGAAGTCCTAGTTTTGATTTTTAAAATTCCTATTTTACAAAATTCCTATTTTACAAAGAAATATATTTTTGCATTTCCTTTAGTACCAACAATTTCGTTTCTAGAGAAAACAGTATTGCTTATTTATGTTGTGTGTTTATATCTGCTTATTTATGTTGTGTATTTTTGTCACAATGTGAAGTTAAAATTATAAAGGATATTTTGGGTTTATGAATCATGATTTACTGAATTATCATTTAAATTCCATTTTTGTAAAAAAAATTACATTTGCTGCTAATTAATTATTAATATGAGGTGGCATTTTCTGCTAATCAATGATTAATATGAGGTGGCATTTTCTGCTAATGAATTATTGACATGAAGTGGTATAAGATTGTTATTCTTGCTATTCATTAATAGTCAGGATTAATCCTGGCTTTTCCTAAATTAATATATGGCACTTGTCTCATTGCAGAGGCATTAATACTTGGAGGGCAGTTTTAAATGAATTATGAAAGCCAGGATTTTTTATGGGACAACATCACATTATCTTTCCTGCAATAATGGAAAATGAAAACGAAGGATCAGCCGATGGAGATCAGATAACCTAAGGCTCAACATCTAGCCACTGACTCTAAATCCCATAAGGAACCTTGTATGTTATGCTCTTCAACTGGATTTCCAAATACAAGGTGACTGATGGAGATACATTTTACGACCAGGAAGGAAGGAAAATAGAGTGATACAAGCATGAAAGGATTCTGAGTTAGCCAGAGCTTTGACGTTCATCCTTTTCTCATACTTTCCTATACTTCCCATACACACACACACACACACACACACACACACACACACACGCTTTCTTATAATTTTTCTTAATTGTAAACATCCCCAAAGCACTATAAACCAATGAATTTCAGAATCTGGATTTTATTTGAATTTGAATTCAATTAATACAGGTAGAAAGAGAAAACAGATCTGCTGGATAAAGCAGAATAACATTACAAAGTCTGTGAGTGTGAGTGTAGAGGGAGAGACACATGCCTAAATTCAGCATTTGAATGGTTTGCCGCTCTTCTACATACTCTTCAGAGGCCTTCTGAATCTGCAGTCTCTTTCCATCAGCCTGAGCCAGGGCAGTGTATAGCCTCCTCTTCCAGTCACCAGTTTATGCTTCTGCTGCAAAGCTGTACCTTGTCCTTTGAAAAGTCCTTCCCTCACGCTCTATCTGCTTTGCAGACTGAAGGATAGCGCTCTCCCCTCTCTCCGTTCTCCTCTGTCATCTCTCTTCTCTCCTATCTCCTCTCTCCTCTCACAAGGTTTTGCTTATTCAGTGCAGCAGCTAAATGAAGGTGAACAGGCAACTTTACTTCTCACTGTTCCACTACAACCTTTCAAAAGAGCATGAGATGGCTTTTAAATTACCTTAACACACAGTCAAATTCAAATGAACAGCCAGACACTTCCTGTCAGGAGTACAAGGCATGAAGCACCATGGGCATTGCATCTGGAAGGACAGAGGCACGACAAGAACAGCAGATGTGGTCGCCTCACCCCATTTCTCATTATGGAAGGTAAGGCCTTCTCAGAGAGTGAGAGCATTTTCCTCAGTCATGCTGAATGAAAACAGCATTCAGGAGCTCCGAAGAATCCTCGGCACAGTCCAGGCTGTGTTCCATCTGCCTTCAGTGGTATCATGGACTAGTGAGTCCCATTCCTGGAGGTGACAACTGAGATGGGCTGTGTTGCTTGCTGACCTTGGAGTCCCTGAGTCTATCTCACATGCCCTTTCCATGAAAACATAACCTGCATATTATCAAGTAAAGTCCAGTTTCAAGCTCCCAAGTTCCTTTCACAAAATCATAAGGGGAAAATGTGTGCACACATTTTTCAGGAATGAAACATAACTTAGGAGGTTTCATTTAGGGCTGATTTATTCATCTTAACTCATCCCATTATTGGCATTTCTTAGAAATACATTGTTGAATGAGTTAAGATGGTGTGTCAAGTTTAAATTTGAATTTCATTATTGTTGAAACCTCAATGTTAAAATAACATGGGGTTTTTTTGTCTTTAATTTCCTCTTTTTTATTAAAAATAAAAAATATATATTTGAGGGAAAGTTATTGAAAGCATATTTTTTAACCCAAGGACCACCCAGACACAACGTAAATGTGCATTTAAGCAGTTTTAAAAAATGATACTAGGTATCAGAGCAATTGGCATAGCTCCATAGGAGTATTATTTTTTCTGGTGTATCATCACGTCAATACAGATCTAGACACATGATTGTGAGATTACAGTATATGAAGTGGCCAGTCCTTTGGCTTTATCTCTCCCTGTCAGACAAATTGAATTGCTTTCCAAATTTCATTTTTTGAACTTGAAGCCAATTTTAGTTATGGGAGAACAAAAGCAATTTTAACTTCCATGATTTATTCACTTAACCTTAATAAAGCTGAAAAATAACAGTCTATTTGGTAATGGTAATCAAAATGGGCTTGCAAACCACTGGAATTAAAGTACAGTAATGAAAGTGCTGACAGATCCTTTACTGTAGTGATGGGAACAGTATTTCTGCCTTATCCACACTATAATCTGTAGATATAGCTTTGTTCTCTTAGTGAAGTGTGGAGAGCGATTTATTATCATTGTTAGCATGGACAGGCAAATAACCTAACACACTTCTCAAAATAATGGTGTGTAAGTGAAATCCAGTCTGTCACAAGACCAAAAATAATACTGTAGATTTTGGCCTCGTTCATCCAAGGATCTCAAAGTGCTCAGCTACCATTAAATGTTGCCTGCTTATTCCTGCCCTTCAGATGGGGAAACTGAGGAGCTGACAGATCAAGGATACAATTCTTATATGATTTTTTTTTATAGAAGTGTTTTTTTACTGATTGCAATAGAACCTGAACTGGGTGTCATATGACTGGATAACAGAAGACATCCACAGAAAAGCCCACCCTAACAAAAACTTCTTTTTTGTACCTAAGGACTTACAGTGGTCCCAAAGACTGTCAGTGTCTTCATCAAGCTTGAATTACATAATCACGCATTCCAATTCTGTTGAGTTGTACTGAAAATTATCTGTCTGTGGTTGCTGGCTAATACTTTATATGAAGTAATACTATATGCTATTAACACTGGCTAATACTGCAGTTTGGTGGTGAAGATGAGCTCAAGGTTCACGATTCCAAAATCACTCAACGTTCAAAGATGCTGCACAGATCTGTAAAAACCATGGATCATACCACCCTAGGATATAATGTTTGATGTTCTGATGGTGATCCTATAGATCACCTACTTCTCTGCAAGGTCTTCACCTAAGGTGGAAAGGTCTTAAAGATATAACTCCTGTTGAAAGGGCTGAAAAGTGAGATTTCTATGATGTGCGTGCTGCTCAATGCCATTTAATACAGTCTTTGGTTACACAAATACACTTGTGGTCTCTTACAAGACTCCTGTCTCTCAGCACACAGGCAAGGGGACTTAATTCATGCACACAGGTATTTTACTTCACCTTCACCATTTAATGCTCAAGACCTCCTGCCATATCCATTGCACGCTCCTTAAACCCTGTTCTGATGACAGAACTAATTTCCTCAAGAGATTTGCTCCAGTGCTCAGTACTATATCAGATGATTGCTTTGCAACTATCTATTAATTTATAATCACAACGTCCTCTGCAGGGAAGAGGTCATTTTGCCCCCATTTTATGGTTGGAATGTTACCAGACAAAATGGAGATGAAGTCAAAAGTAACCACCGCTGTTGGCTGTCTAATTCTGCCAATCTGCCTACAACCAGATTCCAAAACATCTAAGAACACTATGAGTTAGGAGTGCTGCTGAGAGTGACCTTAGCTTAGGCTGGTTGGGTGTTCTACAGCTAACACCAGGCTGCACAGAAGAGGAGGAAATGCATGCAATGAGACTCTGAAAAAGTCACTAGGAGTGACTTTAACTTTGTGCTGGAATTTTACCATGGCAGCATTTATGGGGCTTAAACATTAGATACTCTCACCTAAATCGTCAAGCCATTGGATTAATTCACTTTAAGTACCTCAACAAGTGAGGGGGAGAGCTTGCAGAAACCAACCCTCTCTGCTACTCAGCTCTGATTCTTTCTCAGAAATAAAAGACATATACCATATGAAGTTGTGAATTAAAATTTATTCTGAAAATATTTTATTCTGCATCTGTGTAAATGTTTATATACATATGCAGAGCCACCTTTTCAGACTCTAAAAAGAATGCTCCCTACTGTTAACTCTACACATCAAACCTCCAGCCAAGGACCATCCATGCTTTATCAAATTCCGGTTAACTGTAACTGCTCAAGCTCTCAAGCCCATGGACATCAATGAGACCACAAACATGTCTAAGGTATATAAGGACATAGGTGTAAGACAATGAGAACAAACAAGAATCACTTAGAAGCTATTTCTGCTCGTGGGATCTTTTACCATTTGTAATGTTACAGAGCTGTAACTACACATGATTTTTGAAATGGTGACTGATTCTCCAGAGCTGGCCATTAAATCAGGCAAAAACTCAGTCTTTAAATCAAAGTTCTTTTATCAGTGAGGTATGTCTTTTATAGATTTTCTGTCCATTTTTCATTATCCTCCTCTAAAAATATAAAGGTGTGGGAATGCCTCCAGATGATTTTAATATCGCTCCTTTCCTTGAAGCACCTGATTTGGACGATGGGGAGGAGGTTACACAGCTTGAAGAGTATGGGAAGGCAGAGAGTGAGGGTCCCAGGAGAGACCTCAGAGCCTGCAGATCATGCTCAGATGGAGAGGTTGCTGAACTGGGCCACAGAAACACTGGAAAGAAAACCTGCTAGGGAGCAGAGGGGAGGCTGCAGAGTTTGCTGGAACTTAAAAAAGTTAATGAACTGACTGCAAATAGAACTTGAAGTGAGCTCTGATTTTCGTCTTTTAGAGCATTGCAAGAGGAGTTGGCTACAAGCGTTTTCTATTTCTGTTATAGATTCCTTACTTTGAATTTACTGGAAATATACTAGCCTGTATCTGAACACAGTCTGACTTTTGACTTGAAAAACCTTTTGATCCGCTTTTGGAAGTTTGTTTGAGGGTAGAGAGAGCTTGCCTCTCTTCATTTCTCTCCTCATTCTCTGATGCTGTACACTAATGGAGAACAGGAGAGTGGTAACAGGGGTTTCCTGGACGATGTCTTCAGAGAGGACACGAGGCAAAGGTGATTTCCAGAAGCAAGGTGAACCATGTTGGACCAATTGTCTGTCCCAGTACAGCAAATTCTGCTAAGGACCCCCCAAAAATTTCAGTATTTTCCTGCCCGGCAGTCTCTGAAAGTGTAATGCAAACTAGTTTTTTGGTTCAGCAATAGAACTTGATAATTTCTTTTCAGTGGAATAAAGAATGAAGCACAGTCCTTCTTCTCCGTTATAAAAGCATGTGAGCTGAAAAAAGACCCATAAGCAGCAGTGAGAATGGTTGGTAAGTTGCTTCTTATTCTTTGATATATAAATTTTTATGTAAACTGACACTGGTTTTATCAAATATAATGGTATCTTACTAGTATGAGATCTTAGCATAAAACTCAACTAATGAGTCTTCCTTGGAAAATGGGAAGATGCTCCCATCCATAGATTACGTTACTTATCGAGCAAATTATATTTTCAGATGTAATTCATGGCACTGCTCTTGCTTTAATTTTGTTTTCTAAACATAAAAGCTTGTGTTTCACACACGTTTGTACAGAAAGTCTCTATCATTACAGGACTAAGAAGAAGAATAAAAAAGGGATAAAGCAACCTGCTTACAGACATGCTGTAGCTGTAATGACCTTTTCTGCATTTTCAACTCAATAGAAACAAATGCCAGACTGGACACAAGCCATACAGACATTTAATAGACAGCGGCCAGCAATGCGGTGGCCATTTGCTGGCACATGACAATAAATGAGAACATCTGAAAAAGTACCAAGACCCAGTTTATTTTTAAAGTAGTTTCTAAGATAAATAAAAATAACCTCTTCTAGAGGAAAACAGAACATCTTGGTTTGGAATCTGAACATATGAAATTTGCTTTATTTTTTTTGTTACTGACAGCATTAACCCACTGATTAATTATCACATCACTTTATATCTTATAAAGTAGTGCTGAGTGTTGCCTCGGTGACTTGTTTAAACTAAACTTTGGAGGAGAAAAAGTAGTTCATAATTTTTCATTTCAGGTATCCACTTTGCATTGTGGATGCTTATTTGATGCAAATTGATCTAGAAACTAGGAAAGTTAAAATAAAGAAGTTTCAAGGGGAAAAATATTTAGGGAAAAAGACCACAAATGCTTGGAAGTGTGCTTCACAGTTTATCAATCCTTTTGTCAACAAAATGAGCTTCTACAGCTTTAAAACTTGTCTTCATAGTCGGACTTTTGCACCTTAGGTTAGATAGCTGCTAATTAAGATATTACTTAAAATGTATTTTCCTCAGTCAGTGTACACACATCCAACAAGTGTATTCTAAGATTGAGCCAAGAATAAATATTTGTGGTTTGATGAAAACACAGGGGAGTGTTCATATCAACTTTTATAAACAATTGAAGTGACTGTAGATAATCCAGCATTATTTATTTTGATGTAAAAAGTCCTATGCTGATATAAACATCCTCAATGCAAAATTACTTGTTACTGCTTTTGTAAATGCAAGATCATAAACAAATTTCTGGGGACAGGTAAATTTGGAGAATATTAAGCTTAGTGACCAATATCACCTACCTCAGGGTGAAGAGCAAGAGACTTCATCATAAGAAATTGCAAGATAATTTGTACATACCTTTTTAATGATAAACACTGTTTAGCAGATGATTTTGTATATTCCACAACAGTTTTAGTTTGAAATATTCCTCTTTAATGTAGTTTTCTAAGTTCATATGGTCTTATCAGCATAAAAAATCCCTCCATTTTTGAATATGGGCATGTATTTTACCTCACCACAGTCTCACAGGATTAAGTTCCAGAGGCTAAATATGGATTTTTTTAAAGCCTTCCTCTTCATTATTTTGGAATTCCCCTATTTTCAGTTTTCTTGAAAGCTTTCATTATTATACAACTGCATGTATACTAATACTTGTTCTTTTACATCATTCATTGTTTTAAACAGTTTTATCACCTTCATTTTTATTCACTTTCTTTGTAAAATAAACACATCTAACATTTTCTTCCTCTCTTCAAATGGAAGTTTTACATTCCTGTGTTATTTTTCAGTCTATCTCTGAGCATGCTGTGTGTTTGGCTTGTATTTTGGGGAGTGGAAAGTTGAAAACTGGACAGAGAATTGTAAGAGTAAAAAGAAACTGTCTTCATAAAGCCATTGTAATGTTTTCTGTATTAGTTTTTATCCCATTCTTCATGCATCCAAATATTTTTATTTATTAAATTTTTGGCTTTCCAGCCCCTAGTGTACACGGAGCAGGAGTTTCATCTATCTCTTTAGAATAAAATAATGTTATTTTCCTGGAATGGGCACAGTTACTATAGAACCTAATAAGGCATTGTACCAGATGCATACTGCTTCTTCCAATTTATAGCAGAAACACATTGCATATTTTAAGTTTTCTGAATAATTTGTTGTAATCACTGGCCTTACCTCATCTCTCTTGTGTACATCAATGTGGTTGTAAATTTGATCATAAATATTTGCATGCATAGGAAAACAGAACTCCTGCATATCCCACGCTTATGGGAGCAATTAAGTGTCTTTCTCGAGTTGCAGGTGGCCATTTTGAACATCGACTTTTTGAAGACTTGCAAAATAATTCCTTACTAGGACTCTTAGTTAAAATTTCCTGATTGAGGGCTGAATGGCACAAGAATCTTGTTGCCTTTGGGCCAGCAAGCTATTTTCTGTTTTGCTAATCTAAATATCTTCTGCCTGGGTCATTGCCTGAGGTTGTGACTTGCAACTCAGTAAATGTCCATTTTTCTTTTCTTGAAGAAATAGGAAGGCATCCCTATGTATTCAGGATGGATAGAAACTTTTTGTGCTGATTAAAGCTTGCAGGCCTAATCCTTGGACCTGTGCCACTTGACACCAGTCAGCTAAGGAGTTTGCCTTTTGATATTACTTTTCAATTCTGTCCTTCGGACTTCTGCTAAGTGGTACAGAAAACAAAACAAAAAAAACCCACAAGCCTGCAGGGAGGTTGCTTGTCTGTCTCCTTGAATTGTATTAGATTAAGAGGGAAAGCAGTTGCACTTCTTCAACAGTTTCCTTATAGGCATTGGCAGTGCCAGATAGTCACAACCACTATGCTCTTCTCCAGCAGAAGCTTCAGTCCCTACGTAGGGGAGAATGTGGCACATCATCCTTCTTGGCTTGGGCAGGGACTTGATGTTAGAAAGTTTTTTATATGTTCTGGGCCCAAAACTTGGAACTATTCTATTCACGTGAGATGTCTTTTATCCTGGTGGGCTAATCAGACTCTAAGTAAAATGCAGAAACAAAGTTTGTAGGATCATAAATATTTGATATTGTAGGACCAGCCAAGTGTTTGTAGGATGCCTAAATTAATCTCCTAACAAGAAAGAATGATAGCAAAATTAACTCCTGTGAGCACTTCATATGCACAAAGATCTCGCTTTTTGAAAATAACATCTGATTTTTAACAGCTTTTTTTAATCAAGAGAAAGGAACTCCCTGAAGGAGCTGTGTGCTTACTTGGTGCTATTCCTAAAACTCCTCTGAATACCTGCATATCATGCTTACCAATTGAACTGTTAAGTCAGAAGGCACTAAAGCCTATATTTTAATGTGACACGGTTTCCTCCTTTTCACCTTCTGAAAGCACCCCCAAATCAAACCCATGATGTGTAATTCTGGTGGCCTGGTCCTCACACCAGAGCTGCCATCTGCCAGCATCTTAGGCAAGGAGCAGAAATGGACACACCTGATTTAGGAGGACAGAGGGTGTTTTCTTCTCTTGTCACGGAAATAGTAATTGTACAAAATATTTTATTATTAATATTGAAAATGTCCTCTGGTTGGAAACTCATTTGCATCAGCATGCTGCCCTCTGCTTGTTATTTCTTCGCTGCAGAAAGGTACTTCTCAATGTTATCTATATGAGAAGCTTTTAGATTTACTTTCTTTAGTTTGTGAGGGTTTTTTCCCCTAACTGCTGAATAGTGCAAATAACCTGTAGATCTATGCTGAGATAAGGAATATTGAAGGGAATTTTTGCTCAAGGCCACTGTGCTCAAACAGACCTGGGCAGCTCCTACAAAACCCTGTAATCAAGACTCAGAAGATGACCTTGATCTACCTCTCCCTTCGAGCCCCCAAGTCAGTGAGTGTTAGACTGGATATTGAAAGTTAATGAGGCTGCAGCTAGAATAAGTCACGTGTGAGACTGTGGATGTAGCACAGATGGCTGAGGAGGATCACAAGCAGCTTTCCTGTTGGATGGAAGGTTAGGGAGCCAGCAGTGAAGTTCAGCCAGGACCTAGGTAAAGGTAGGGAGAATCCTAATTCCTTGTGGGACACAGGAATTAGACTGATGGGCTATGTCTATCAGTCAGCATGAAACAGCTCATTTTCAGTACTGCATTAGCTGTAACAACTACCCCAATACTTGCACTCAGTGCCTTATGCTGCTGTGGTTGGGCCATCCCTGGATATACCCAGGTGATGAAGTATGACACTTCCACAATGCACAGATTTAATATGCTTTTATTATGAATGTTGTGCTGGGGGAAAGTATTGGGTCGACCAGGTGACTGATCACGGAATCTCTGGCGTTCAGCAGCTGGAACTGCAGAATCAGTGACAGCCTTTTTTTGCCCTTGGCACTAGACTTGATATTTACTTAGCACTGATTTTCTTTGATTAAGAAATTGGTTAAGCTATCACAGACATCCCTCCTGTCTCTCTCTTCTCATCTTAACTTGAACTGGCTATGTAGCAAAAATGAAAGCAACAGTCAAAATCCGTGAAGGACTGTACTGCAAAAAAATCTGGAGGGGAACAAAAGTTATAAACTCCTAATAACACACAGTTTCTTTTCTCCTCGATTGTGAGACTGGCTTTCATACCTGCAACATGAACCACTGTTTTCTTCTGTGGTTTTCAAGTTAATAGATAGTTAATCTTTTGGGTATTAATAGTCAAAACCATTTTGGAATACTTTCCTAGACATGGTTTAGAACAAACTAAACTTTAATATGATTTTGTAGTATTAAAAAGGCAATAGATTTGTCTTTCTTTCTTAGGGCACAATCTCAGCATCATGTTTGCAGGAGATCTGCAGTCAGATTCCATGACAGCAGAGTTCAGCTAGAAAGAAAAAAATAGGACCTTCCAAAAACCTGCTGAGAGTTACCTTCTTACAAAACACAAGTAAAGAACAAAAGCTTAAGTATTCATGTAAAAGTGACGCAACATCAAGACTAATAACAGCATATGGATATAATTTTTCCTCTAAAACTGGCAATTATGATTCACAGTCTATAAGTTTTTACTCTTGCCCTATCTTCTATTTCTAAAAGTAAAGCAAGGTTAAAGACAGCTGATAACTCTGAAGGGAAAAAGCCAATCTGTCAACTGAATTCAAAAGGTTGACAAAGCAGAGGCATGATATTAAAACAATTAGAAGATCCATGGCACTTAATTAGAAAGAATGTCCTTATAGCTGAGCTCGAGAACAGAGTATTGTTGTAGTATCTGTACAGTCATACAGCAAGCAATATATCCTAATGGGCTTTATAGCTAATGAAGAATGACACAGAATGCAAATCTCTTATTAATCTGGATTAAGTAGAGAAAACAAACTTGTTTTAAACCTAGCCTTATAAACAGAAGGTCTAATCCTGAGCCTGCTTATATAGGGGTGTTAAACTAAATACAGTAGAAATGGTGTGTTTGCTCAGTGGTGGAGAACAAAGCAGGAAGCAGCCCTACAGAC